TGGTTAATAAACAATATTGCAGAAAAAAAATGAGCAAAATGCAAAAAAAATAAGCAAAATGATATAAAAACTTTAAAAAAAATTAAGGAAAAAAAATGAGTGAAATGCTATGAAGAAAAAATATAATGAGCAAAACGGATAATGAATCAACTAATGGTATTCATTTATCGCATTCTATCGCAGATAAAATTCTGGAAGGGGTAGTAATGTGGCGTAACTACCACTATAAATATTAAATAACAATTCACTAGTATATAAGATATGTTAACTTGATTCTATCTTGAGGAACCTTTTGATAGATGAAGGTTGGCATATTCAATTAATTAAATCTCCACAATTGTACTAAATCCAGTACTGTTTACTTTCCACATTTATTTTACTTATTGTTCATTTGATCATTTATTATTCTGATAATACATTCATAAATATTTGCACAAGCATAAAAATAAATCTATGAAAAATGTGTTGCTATACATCTTCACAAGCCACCAAAAATTAAGTCCCAGCACCTGGTAAATAAAATGGTTTAACACTAAATCATAATTTCTGATTTTAAATCTGGTTTCTTCAGTGAAAAATAATTAGGGATCACAAAGTAAAAATTATTGTGAGCCTTGTGATTAGATAAGTTTTAACAATTTTAGTAGAATAGCTTAATTTTTCAATGAAATTTTTGAAATACATTTAATATTTATGTAAAAATTCGGAATAAAAGAGTCAAAAATTTCACTGATTATTTTTAGAAAATATTTATACAAATCAAGTTTTATCTATTTATTTTTTAGAAAACTTTTTTTAAGTCCTGGAAACAGAAATTTTTTTATAAAGACCAATATATAACTGCTCAAAAAATTATTTCTGCTCTATACTGGCACTTATAACAATGTTTTGAATTGATGCACATTTTTTAAAAGCATGTTATCTCTTTATAGTAATTCTCTCAAAAATAATTCCTTCTTTTTTATTTCTTAATTAATCTTGCATCCTATTTTTTTACCTGGATTACTTCCTCTTTTTAAAAAATTAAATGTCAATAAAATATCAATTTAAAAATTATAAATTTAAATTTCAGGAGCATAATTTGAAAAGGATGAAAAGCTTTGAATAATTTCTCTGAATAATTCATCACTGAATAATTTTTATTCAAATATGCTGATGTGAATATTTGTATATTCATTAAGCTCACACATTCTGTATTGCTTAAAATCCATGTTAAACAGCTAAATTAACATTATTTCTTTCCTCAACTAGTTAAAGGAAGTCACTAAATGTCAATAAGTTTTAAGTTAAACCAAAAGCCCTTTTTTTTTCTTTTTCTTTTACTACTTCAAAGTGATCTATTAGTGATCATTATTATTATATTTTTTAACATCAATGAAGTTTCAAAGAAATTTAAACTGTTTATAAAAAAATTTAATAAAAAATCCATATTATATAATTTCTTAAAGTATTACTTGCCAGGGTCAGAAACTCTGCTATTTATCTTAACATGTTAAAATGACATTTTTTCAATGCCAGAGTTGAACCAAGTCCCTGACTTAAAACAAGGTTGTCTATTTTTTTTAACTTTAACCAGATTCAAAGCTGAACATTTTTGACCAAATTAATTCTTTTTAAGGGAGTATAGTTGCTATAGCCATGTAAAATTGTCTAAGATAAGACTTATTCAAATTTTGTATTTTGCCATGTAAGATTACTTATTTTAAACTGGCATAAAAAATTGTACACCTTACAAGGCAAAATTGTTTTACTATAATTAATTAAAAAAAGATAATAAATATTTACAAAAATTAATTTTTTGCATGGAATTATCTTTGGATGAACAAATTTTGTAATTATGTGCAAAAAAATTTCAATTCACTTGAAAAGTTTGAGACAAGGTGACATAGACAAAAAGTAAAACTAACATTAGGGGTTCAAACTTAGCGAAGCTATTAAGATCGAGTCCAAAAACTTAGAGATTCAATCATTAGATCAAAAGTTAATCAGGGTGGTCCTTTTTTTGGTGCACTGTACTTCCTATATCTAAGTATGTTAAAATTATATAAATATTTAAACTCTTTACAAATTTTTAAAATTTGCTAAGAAGCAAATTGTCTATTAGAGACTATGTTATTTGTTCTGTCGTATACTATCATAATAGCTGCCTACTATTCTATTCTGTTAATAAATAATAAAATAAAGTTGTTAAAGATGAGAACTGAAGGTAAAGGTAAACATATAAAGCTTTATATAAAAGTTTGAGTAATTTAAATATCAATACCTTAATTTAAAAAAATTTAACTTTATAACACATTATTAATATAAAAAACAAAAATTTTTTTCTCTTTCATTCACGAATAAGGTTTCTTCTGAAAAGTGAGCTTTGAGTAGATCCCGTTTACTAACACCAACTGGGTTTATTTATCAAAATTTTGTTACAAAATATATATGTATGGTTTTGTAAATACAGTGGAGCATCGTTTATACGACGCCGAAGGGACCACCGAAAAACGTCGTATAAACGATAGCATCGTATAATCGATTTTTACTTCTAAAACTGAAACTATCTCTGTTTTCAGTTAATTTTAATGTTTCACGTGTTGATTTACATACATTTCTAAATTAGACAAAGCAAAACAAACAAATAACCAAAGAAGAAAAATTACAGTGAGCAATTTGAATGTATGTTATTTTTAATTATATTTTCTTGCTATTAGTCTCTACAATGCTTTGAATAGCGAGTTGAACTTACTGCTTTATGATGCAATTTTAGATTTCTAATCACGGCCAAATCTAATGGCTGAAGCGCACTTGTGCAATTTGCAGGAAAAAAGAGAGCTTTTACATTTTCCAAAATAATTAGTATCGATGGGTGCGCTGGACATTGGTCGATGA